CCTGGTCCCTCCACTCTGACAATTGCTGACTATGACCGTCACCTCTACAATTATCTTGTGGATGGTACCTATGGTTGGTGTTATTAGTGTCTGGTGTGCTTGGCTTACCATTACGAAATTCAGGTTCCCTATGTGTGCTACGTTCAGTTGGCGTTTCGGTAAAGTTGGGAGGGCATTTTGAGAGGTTCATCTTTGCCCTGGCGCCCACCTGTTCAGGGTGTGCCAAATCATATCTCTCAGCCAGCTTTAATATGTCGGCAATTCTTTCTGCACCATTCTCAGTCAGAAAGGTTTGGAGAGGTTTTGACATTGACTCCTTTAGCTGTTCAGCCAACATCATTTCCTCTAGTCTTCATAAGTCTGGGTAAACGATGCTAAACTCTGCCATTTTAGCAGATAAGATTTTATTCTTGAAAAAAAATTGAGAAATGGTTTCTCCCGACTCTCTTTTTGCATTACGAAATTTATTGTGATATGCAGAGGCCGTCAACTCATATCTTTTCAAAAGAGAATTTTTCAAGAACTCGAAGTTGGTCTCTTGACCAGGAGGCAATCTCAAATAACATTCATAAGAAGGACCTCTTAAAGACAGTGAAAGCTTCAGACACCACTTCTCTTTATCTAACAAATATGACCTAGCAAGGTTTTTGAATTTTTCCAGAAACACATCCATTCTATCCTCGCGTTCATTAAACTGAGGAAAAAGAAAAGACATCGGACCAAGAAGGTGAGGATGGCCAAAAGAATGTGCCTCAGAGGCAGAAGGTTGTGCATTAACTGCTGTACTAGAAGTAGAATGAGACTGTAAATCGAGCTCTCTGAGACGAAGTTCATGAGCTCTAATAGAGCTTTAATTTCTCGTTCTTTCTCCGCAGCTATCTCAGCTAGTCTTATGCGTTCTTGTTTTTCCTCTTGCTCCTTGCGTTCAGCCCTTTCTCTTTCTCTCTCCACTTGTTCTTTCTCCTCTTGACGCCTTTCACGGTCCTCCTATCTCCATTCTCGTTGTATTTCCTGAAGATATGCCTTTAATTATTCGTCTGCATAACCGAGAATTTTCCCCAGCTCTGCCATCTCCAAAAGTGAGGGTCTTGTTGCCATTATACCTACAGAATATACTTCACAAAAGAACACAAGCAAACACCAAACAAATTATCACAAGTGTAAAGTTACTATGTTATCCTCCATAAAGTTAATTTTTGCCAATTAGTATTTACCTATAAATTCCTACAAATTTCCTATTAATGACTAACTTATATAATTATCTAACGTCCCAATTGTCATATGCTAGTTTGGTGGAATGCATCCTCCCCTGGAGATCCCCTATAATCCCTTCTAAATTATTGTTTTACAAGGCTCGAAATAAAATTGTCTAGGGGAAATTTATTGGTCCCTGAGTTCATAAAAAAGAAGGGAATTCAATACAGTCTGAATAACTCAGATAATTCTACAAATAGGGTGAATCCCCGGAAAATGACTGAATTAATATTTATTCGTCTAAATAAACTTGAGAATAATCAAAGTTTAAAACATTCATAACTGAACTCGATGGAATCAAAGAGTAAAATACTTCATCAAACAAGGCACCACAACAGATATCAATTGAAATAATCAGCCAGTTGAGTTATACTTAATAAAAAAATTTATTGATACAACACAGCCCAGAACACCCCTTTAAATTATTCAACTAAAAAGGAGAACAACATCATGCAACACCGAAAAAATCCAAATGAATCTAAACGTCACTCAGCTTTAGGATCGTTCGAGTGGAATACAGCATTCCTTGTGGTATGGACAATATACTGGCAACATTGGTAGCCTTTAGCTGTCTTCAACGTGTAGTCTGTTTAATTTCGGATCTTAGTTTTTTTTTTTCCCATTCTACAATGTTGTGGACAATCCATGGTGGTTATAGGGAACCTGAATTCGTATTATTATTATATCTTTTTAGCTAAGCCGATTGAAAGGCTGGGACGGTCGTTTGATGTAGCAACGAATGACTAGATCTAGGGTTTTGTCCCCTAGTAGTAACTAAGAAAAAACGTCATAATTTATGTGCTTCTTAACGCCGCCGTACATTTACTACTATTCCCGCATCTATATTTATTTTAAGTGCGCAATTGTTTTAATCAACAAGATGCAATAAACTCTTGCCGGACTGAAATATTCCATTGGTTTGTCACAAGCAGACTTCTTTCTTTGGTTTTCTGAAAGTTTGTTCTTCTTAATTGTTTTATACCAGATAAGTTGTAAAGTGGAGTTGCTGTGGCAAAGTGGAGTTGCCGTGGCAAAGTGGAGTTGCTGTGGCTAAGTCGGACTTGTTTAAAAAAATGACCTTGACTCCCAAGTTGACCCAGCCTTGAATAGGTACCGGGTCCAGTCCGGGGAAGTAAAGGTGGCTGGTGTGATGCTGACAACATCACCCATCTTGTGCTGATTGGTCTATAAAAATATAGGTCTCACCCTATATGCCCCTTGCTTACAGTTGTAAAGGACCCCTGCCATCCCAGCCACCCAGCCATATGATGCTAGACTTATATTTGTATAGACCTTCGATGGATGATGTGGTCAACATCACACCGGCTGCCTTTGCTTCCCAGGACTTTACTTGATACCTATGTTAGACTGTATCAACACTTGGAGTCAAGGAAAGATACACTAGTTGGTGTGATTATATTTTCAACCATTTTCTAAATAATTGTTACACTTCTGTGGACCAGTCTACAGCACAAGGCTATTGGTAAACAACCACAGATATGATTACAATAATAATCATTTTATAGATTCTGTCGTAATTATAACTGACTCACAGAACATGTTGAGAAATGTGGAGACACGTATGTTCCATGCAGAATGGCAAGCATTGCTTCAGAGGTCCTGTGTAGTTAGCATCCTTTAGGTATTTTCTCAAGGTCATGATGGTGTGTTTGGAAATGAACAGACAGACAAGACTTTCACTTTTTTACAGGACGTTGCAGAACCAACCCCAGCACTTTCTGGCTGTTGTGGTTTTTCTAGGCAAATTCACGTCCAGTAGTTTGCCATTGTTTTCTGGACGGTCGGCTCTCAGTACCACAGTTGAAACCATAGCAAGACAAACTGTCCGCAGCAGGAATCGAACTCAGCACCAAGGCATTATGAAGCGCGTTTGCAACGCTTAAGCCACAGACGCCGACTGCTGTTTACTACTTGGTGGTAAATTGATGCATGGCAAGCTAGATGTAAAGGTCTTTTGGGAGTATGTGAACAGTGCAAAGGTCCTGTTAGTGCCCTTTGGTTATTTTCTCCAGATATGTCTGTGTGTTGGAAAACGAACAAGCAGATAAACTGGCTGGTTCTGCACTACTTGGTGGTAAAATGATGCATGACAAGCCAGATATTATAAGGATCTTTGGGAGCAAATGAATAGTGCTGAGACACAAATAGATCATGATGGTCTGAGAAAAAATGGTGCTGCGAGGAGCAACCAAAAGATCTGGCCGCCATTCAACACTCAAGGGAAAGGCTAGACTGAAATACAGACTTACTGGTGCCACTGGAATCGGTGCTGTGTGCTTGCTGCTGAAGATGGGGACATAGTGCTTATGGGAATGTCCTGAGTGCTGTCATGTAGATTCTCAATTCAACAATTTTGCAGATGTTACAACAAAATCACACAAACTCCTTTATAATGAGATAATCATCAACATTTAATTGTAAAACTTCCTAGTTTCTCATTACAGTCACCAAATAAAATAATATTTTAGAAGTCACATTCAGAAAGCTAATAAGTAGTATGTTCAACTTCCATGTCATGTAAACTAAAGAATATGTTATAAAAGGGATTCCCAGTTAGGGAAGACCTGCAGACCCCCCCCCCCCCCCCCCCCCCCCCCCCCCTCCACCTTATTTTTTTAGGGTGTGCCAGGACCCAGTACTTAACAGTCATGCAAAAGAAATTCTAATTTAAAAATTATTAGAAATGCACCTCCATGGTCTCCCCACTTCATGCATAAAAAAATTAGTTAAAATTAGTTTTATTTCTTCTTCTGTGTTCATTCTCAACCTGTCGTCCCAAGCAGACAGAATCTAGTTACTTCCGGTTGTGACACAGTCCTGTAAACGCCAGTGTGTCTGCATTTCTGAAGTGACCCGTTCTTGAAAAGTGTAGTTAAATTCTATTGCTTCTATGTGGTCCGGTTATGAATATGTTAACAATAAATAGCTATGATAACATCAAATTTTTCCTTAGGCCTCGATGATAGAGGTCAGTGGGTCATGGCATGAATCGCCCGATACATAGTTGTTTTAGGCCCAAGGAAATTATTTCATTTAAAGCTTCTTTCTGTTCATGTTTATTGATTACTCAAGTTATATATACTTCACACATCTGAAGTAAATCTTTTTTGCTTTTTTTTTTAAACATTTATTTGTGACTAATGTAAAATAGTTTGTCTTTTTTTTATTATTTATAATTTTTTCAGGAATTCCCAGGGGTTTATGACCCATTTATTTTTAGTATTTATGGAGCGAAAGGGTTAAAAGGGTGTTTGGTACATTGTTTTGCATGGCTGCTCTTCTTCTTCTTCTCCACATTTTTCCCCCACCAAACATGAAGGCCACAAGAACCCTTAAAGGGAACAGTATTAAAATTCATTGCTTTCATTGTAGGTCCTAGTAAAACACAGGCAGGACTGATTTTTAAAATTTTTTTATTGCTTTTTTGCTAATTGTGAAGGAGTCGGGATATATATTATTACTGGTTCTAAGTAACATACAAGAATTCTTTTTCTAACCTCAAGTGACAAGGACTTATTACAAGCTAAAAAGATTATTTAAAAAAATAAATATATAACAAATAAATATTAAACTTGTACAATTTAAATCCATTGCAGAATACAAAATACAAAGAAACACAATGAGAAAGATTGTACGCCTTATATCTGTTCATTCAGTCTGGTCCGATGTCTAAATAAGTTCATACAAATAATGTGCATATCAGTAAAGTATTAGAAGTGAAATAATTACAAATATTTTCCTGGATTCCATTTGTATGGCTTTACTTTATGTTTCTTCTCCTCTGACTTTTTCGAGGGAACAGATATTGGCTGCCAAGGAATTGGATTATAGAAGGACGGTTCTGGACAGGCACTTTGGTCATAATATGCTGAAAATAAACATCAGAATTTCTGTGTGAACTCCTTCGAGCAAATTTGTTTTCTTTGATCGTACACTGTATTTATATGGTACATTCCCCCATCCCGCCACCATTTTTGACTAAATAACATGTTTATTAGTATATATATTTCAGTTTATTATTTTTATTAAAAAACTTTTTTAAGTTTTAAAAACAAAAGTATAAAATTAAGAGGCTTGTCTTTATTGTATGAAAGTTTTATCCTATATGGTTTGGTCTCTCCGCAGAATGGCTAACCGCCTGCCAAGAGTTTGACACACTGCTTCAGGAGTGATCCTCAGGGATCTCCTTAAAAATTGCTTTTGTGAACCAAACGGTGAGGCCCATAAAAAAAAATTAATTGATGGCCTTTAGAACAAACAGCTTAACCACTCAGCCGCAAATTCTAATTTCTTTTCTGGTTAGAAGCAGACATCGTACTTCTAAGTCACTCTAACCAAAATAGAATCAACACTATGGGTCTCATAGGATTCTTTAGCAAATGCCTGTGATGGAGAAAAATACAAATGAAAAACAATCGCGTGCATATTACTTTCACAGGGTCAACACATACCGTGCAGCATACCTAGCCAGATTTCTTGCGTGTCCTGAGACCCAATATTAAAGATAAAATAAAATACTATGCATTGATTGATACACACATACAATAGCTCACCACAAATGACACGTTTTCTTTTTTTTTGAGGGACAGAAAAAACTGAAGTTAATTAGATGAGGTTCCAGCTTCAGAGCACATGGGTCACCCCATAACTACCCTGTTCCTGTCCAGTGGAAATCACACAAAATACAAAATGCCTTTCATTGTTGTCGGCTCTGTGGCTAAGTCGATGCGAACGCTTCGTAATGCCGGGGTGCCGGGTTCGATCACAGCTGCGGGCCTTGCGTTGGTTTCGACAGTGGTATCAGGGGGCCATCCTTCCAGAAAGCAATGGCAAACTAATGGACGTAAATTTCCCTAGAGAAACAACACAACAGCCAGGGGCTGCTGGGGTTGGTTCTGCAACATTCTTTAAAAGATATGCAACTAACCTGTTCTTTCATTGTTCCATTTGAACTCTAGTTAAAAAAAAAAAAAAACACACATAAGTCCCAGCTAAAGTGTGTCTAAATATAACTGGCGGCCATTTTTATGAAGTTCACAACACAAAACTTGTTCACAGTGTCACATCAGGCACTCAACTTAGTAGCTGGGCAAAAAAAAAAAACTGTGGGATCCATGTCCAGAAATGGAGAAAATGCACCAGCAAACCTTGGCCAGAAGCAACAACAAAAACTTGTTCACATCTTTAGTGGACAGTCACTCTATCCATCTTATTGGGCCTACAGTCCTGATCAAGCTTTGAAACAAACAAACAAAAACATGCACCTAACAATAAACAACAAGACACTCACCTTTCACTTCTCCAGAAAGATAGCCAAAGCTGTTTGGTGATGTCTTGGGTCTGCTTTGTGCCATCTTCAGCCACTCTTGAAATTTCTCTTCTGCAGCTAATTTCCTCTGGATTTCAAGCTGTTGTTTCTTTTTATTTTCCTCCTTGATTTTTCTTCTTCTTTCTTTTTCTTCTTCCTTTTTTAGTTTCTGCCAGTTATCAAACTTTTCAGCAGCCTTTCTCTTGGCCTGAGCTTCAATTTCTTCCTTTTTCCTTTTTTCCTCTTCTATACGTAATTTTTCCAGTTTCTTCTGTAAACGCATCTCTTCATTTTTCGTTTGTAACCATGAACTACGTAGGGACTCTCCTTTCAGCATCCTGCTACGCTTTTCTTGCTCAAGCTTTTCCTTAGTTGCTTGCTCCTGTTTTCTCTTTAACCTTTCTGCCCGTTTCCTTTCGAGTTCACTTTTTGCTTTGTCAATTAGCCACAGCTCCCACGCTGACAAACTGCTGTCTGAAGATAGTGCTTTCCTCAGCCTGTAATTTGAAAAACTGACACCATTCAATTGTGAATTAAAGTTATTTTAGTCACAACCCCTTAGTTGTCATGTCATGTCAATTAATTCAATCTAATGATGTATAGAATTGTCGTAACATGTTACTTGCTGTTTGTTTACATTAACCAGCTGTCAACTCCAGCGGAAAGTCCTGGTTGGTCATAAGTGTCTGAACGTTATAGTCTTGTTCCAGGTCTTGTTGCATGCTCATCTGTTTTACACATCTGGCTTATTGTATGCAGACTTTTGGTTCCTTGCCTTTCAGATAGCTGCCTTCTGACTTTAAAAGAGCCATCAATCCTATCTACGTTAGCCAGGCCCCTGTTAGGGAACCCATTTCTAGTATGAACATGGAAAGGTGTACATAGTTCATGACTAGTTTGAGCTGTCGTGTGACACATCTTCCACTGTTCCATAAAACTTGGTGGTAAAACTCATGTTTTCTGGCCCAGAAAGAGAGTTGACTTCCCTTCACATTCATAAATCACTGTGTTACACAGCTTGTCCTATGTTGCGCGGGTGTCCCGCTTAGTGACCGGCCAACAACACGCAGCATTTTGCTAGTTGTTGTCACTGGCCAGCGACATCACGTGTTCTACATTACAGGATGTGAGTGCATTTAACGGTCCCAAAACCTGCAGAACTGGCTCTAACCCCAACCCCTCTGCATCCCACGAGTGCAGCCTATGTCCATTGACTGTATTCAGCCTAGGCAGCATGAATGCATGCAGCGTAGCATGACATCCCTGCAACACAGGACAAGCCGTGGGACATGGCGATTTATGAATGGGAAGGGAAGTCATTCTCTCTCTGGGCCCAAAAATGCGAGTTGTAAAAGCTTGGTTTCCATTGGTCTGCCAATCAACCAAACTTGAGATCTTTCTACTGTATTTAGACAGCATTTTCTTGATTTTGGGCAGTTGTGTTGTTCTCTCTGTATTTTTCTCTTGGCTCCACAAGTCGAGGCAGAGGAAACATCTGTAACTTGATTTGGGGTCCCTTTTTTTCCCAAGCAGCCAAAATAATTGAGAAGGAAAGTTTTATGATAATGCAAAGTTATCAGTTTTAAGAAATAACCTATCAAGTGTTTGTTACCTTGGTGACATGTTTCCCCTGTCTGCCTTTCCCTCTGGGTAATGGCGTTTTCTGGTTTCAGTAAATGAGAAAGTTGTATCAAAGATTTTACTGGATTCATCCTCTTCAAAATCAGAGGCGCTGTTGTAGCTGTTGTGGTCTAATAAAGACGTTAATGATGCTGTTGAACCATGGGACTCCAAAGATTTTCTGCGCAGTTTTTGAGAATCATCTTGCTTAGGCTGACTATATCTGCATTGTTTATAAACAGACTGTAAGTTGAAAGTTAAACTTAAAATGTATTTTAATATAATATTATTTCAATAACAGTCACATGGAAGATGCATTATATAAGTCAGATGTAGAACAACACAAGCAGTAGCAGCATTTCACGGGATGAAGAATTTATCTATACAGAATGTCTTTGTAAATTAAGTTGAAAAATAGTTGTTTACAACCTACAAAATTCTTTTCCCCTTGAATTCATTGGGGACCAGAAGCTCCAAAGGAGATGAAAAAAAGGAAGAAACAAATTAGTTCACTGCACTGTTTTATCAAGCTGGTTGCTCTATACATCTGACTGCAGCAAACACTTTCTTCAAGTTCATTTTTCTGAGTCTTTTTACTGACCTCTTTTTTCCTGTAGGATTTGGATACATAGGCACATAGGCCTCCATCGCCCTCTCCCCTCCCCCCTCAATTCTTTTGTCTAGAAAATTTGTAAGAAAAGCAATGAGTCCACTCATGGTTTTTTTGTGTGCCAGTACTCCTGTTTGAATAAAATCTTCCAACCCCTATTTTTATAGACTGCACTGCACTTGATGAGTGATATGGGTTCCAAAGATAGTTACTGATTTCCCAATACAGGACCGGTTGACTTGGGAGTCCAGGGTAGCTTTATTTTTTTTTAAACTTCTTCCCAAGTGGAGATTTTAAGCTTCTGTTACCATAGCTCTGTACATCATCGTCAGCACCATAATGAAGCAAGTCCTTTGAAGAACGGCGCTCTCATCACAGCCTACCATAAAGACACTTGGTCTGCCTCATGCTCTTTCCTACCGGAGGTGTCACTTATTTCTCATGCCCATCTTCTTGCAGGTCAGCCCCTGCCCATTTTCTCCAGTCACTTATATCACATGCCCATCTTCTTGCGGGTCAGCTCCTGCCCATTTTCTCCAGTCACTTATATCACATGCCCATCTTCTTGCGGGTCAGCCCCTGCCCATTTTCTCCAGTCACTTATATCCCATGCCCATCTTCTTGCGGGTCAGCCCCTGCCCATTTTCTCCAGTCACTTATATCCCATGCCCATCTTCTTGCGGGTCAGCCCCTGCCCATTTTCTCCAGTCACTTATATCACATGCCCATCTTCTTGCGGGTCAGCCCCTGCCCATTTTCTCCGGTCACTTATATACATGCCCATCTTTTTGCGGGGCAGCTCCTGCCCCTTTTTGCCAGGCACCATACTTTCTGCTACTATTCTTTCCACTCAGCGGTGGTGTTTGATATGACCAACAAAATTTGTTTCTGAGACAAGATGCTGTTTACCAGCCAATCTTTCTCTTTGTCAGATCTTTTAGGATGTCAGTTTTTCTTTTCTTCTTTGTGCATGGTATTCTGAAAATGTTTCTATAACATTTCACCTCAAAAGCCCCTTTTTCTTCCTTAATGACTGAGACAGTCCATGACTCACATCTGTATGTTGCTACAGAGCAGATGCATGCTTTCAAAATTGTGACCCTTATTTCCTTGCTGAACTGTATTCCTTACTCAATATTGAGAGAATCTATGTTTCAGTTTGCTTGTATTATACAAAATGATGTCACACAAAATTAGAAGGAGAGCGTTCAACAACTTGAAACATACTTCTATTCAAACAAACATCACAAATGTTGAAAATCAGCCCATCCAGTGTTGAGAAAATAAAAACAAACAAAGGATTTTCACAAATACAGAACTAGTTTCTTGGATGGATAAAAAGACAAATAAGGAAGCCCACAAGAGAACATATGTTGGCCTGGAGAGAACGCTAATGGAGAATAAGATTTCATAAAAACGAGGCAGCGGCCATAAAAGCACAAAGGGCTGAGGAATTTGTTAGAGAGAGACTTTTAGGTGTGCTGTGCAGAGAAAGATGTAAAAAAAAAGGTAAAGTCTGGAGATGTGAACCAGCGTCATTGCACAGGGTTATAAACCATAAGTGCTCTGCCACCAGTACGGACAGCTGATAAGAATTGTCCACCTGTGTCGCCGTCCCCATGCAACTCCATAGCTACAGCGACGTTCCTCCATTTACCCCAGAGTGTTAACTCTGGTACCCATTTCCTAAAGGCTGGGTGAACCCAGGAACAGCCTGGTGTCGAACACCGGCCGTGTGCTGCAGCAAGTCGCACAGCTGGATTTGAAAGTGAGTCTCCTATTGACTGCACTAACGCGACCCCCCAAGAGAGATGTGCTGTAAAAGACCTGCTGATGGATGATGATAACATCTAAAAGATGCTAATGAAACAAATAAAAAGTATGATTTAAAAAATATATTCTGACCACTTTAAACATTTTTAAAAAATCTATTTAAAATCATTATAAAGAGACAAGATGATTAAAAAAAAAACTAAACAGCATCGAAACTACTGATGTACAGACAGTATTGGATTTGTATACAGCCTGCCAGAATGTTCCACCAAAACTCAGAACAAAGTCTACTAGAGGTTCATTACTGTCAATGACAATGTGAAATTAACACTTGATTAAGGTGACTACCCATGTACCTCTCAAAGGCCTATCAAAAACAATACTGCAGGGCACAGTAGAGGGAAAGAGAAGAAGAGGCAGACTAAGAAAGACCTGGTTACAGAACCTGACTGACTGGACAGGCCTCAGGCATGCAACCACAAAGTCCATCACAACTGACTGCCAAAGTTGGAGACAGATAATCAGACAGTCAACAGAAACTGGTGACCCAGCGACACACAGTGTTACGGAATTATGATGATGATGATGACCCATGTACCTTGGTTTTGTTACTGTTGCTGTCACAGGTCGAGGTCTGCATGAATATTCCATTGTTAAACTGCGTTATTCTGAGAATTACCAAATTACACTGAAAAGAAGCAGAAGAGACTATGAGAAATTATGAGGTTAAAAGAATTATTAGAATAATACTTATGCTTAAAATTAATTGAGAAATGACTGAAATTATTCAGCCACTGAGAATGAATGCAATGATGCCGGCAGCGACAGTGTCTTCTTCTTTACGTCCTCTTTTACCGCTTGGGTGTCAAGGGAGATATAATTTCCTGCTTTGTGCTCTTCTGGCTGCTTCAACCATAGACACATCGTGGTGCTATAGAGTTTCTCTAATGTTATCTTCCCATCATGTTCTTGGTCTACCTCTTGCTCTACATCCCTCTCCTCTTTTTGTATATGCCTTGTATGATATAGCATCAGAAGACATTCTCTCCAAGTGAGCAAACCATGTGATTTGCTGTCTTTGTATATAATTTAGAATTGGTTCTGTGCCGACTTTATCTCGTATGACCTCATTCCTGATTTTATCTCTTCTGGTCACTCCTACAGTCTTCCTCAGACACCTTATTTCCATAGTTACTAATTTTCTTTTATGTTTTGTTGTGAGTGACCAGGTCTGACACTGGTAGCATAGGATGGGAATGAATATGCTTTGTATGAGGTGTCTCTTTGTGCTGATTGGGATAGCCTTAAGCTGTAAGAGGGGTGCTAGCTGTTCCAATACTTTGCCTGCTTTACTGCATTGGATGTCAATTTCTTCATCCAATTTAACATCTTCAGTGAATGTTGTTCCAGGATATTTAAACTCGGATGCCTGTTTAAAATATGTATGCTCTAATGCTGTTTAAAACCTGCTTATTTCTTTCTATTTACATTACTTTTGTTTTTTCTATGTGTGGCGACAGTGTACAGCATGAAAATGGAAACACTAAGAGGCAGAGGTAGACGTAGGAATATGGACTGAAGGAGTCACTGACAATCTAAGATTTCACAGCAGAATAAGCAATTGAGTGCACCTTGGCTCAGTTATAGAAATCATACATTAAACTGAGACACCAATACAAAGCAGATGTTAACAAACAAAAAAATAACAAATTAACAAATCTCAAACAAGAATCTTCTTCTTGGAGTTCACCAGCTGTAAACTCCGGTAGAAAGTTCTGATTGTTCTTCCACCTATATACTTTAGTCTTGTTCCAGAACCTGAGTGTTGCGTACATATCTATTTTACAGATGTGACTTATTTTTATGCAGATTTTTGCTTCCTTGCCTCTCAGGAAAATGCACTTGGACTTTGAAAAAAGCTTCCAATTCTTCCTTTTCTGCCTTTTAACATTCAAAAGTGCTTATGCCCTCAACCAACTTACAGCATGTCTTTCTATCCTATGTTCCTGTGGATTTCAGTGCAAAATATTCTAGTTACATATTTAGTTTTCTCCCAAAGATCTACGTTAGTTATTCTGTCATACCATTTAATTCCCTCTATTCTGTGCAGGCACCAGTTTATGAAAATAGTTTATTAGTCACTGCCTTAGTTGTTCTCCATGTTTATGCTCCATACAACAGTACTGATTTTACATTCTTCTTCTTCTTCTTCATTCTGAGCCCTTGAAGTTCATTGCTGCAGATAAATGCCTTCATTCATCTTTCTGGTTGGTCTTCTCTTTTCAGTTGTTGACACTGAATGTTTGCAGGTCTATCTGGATATTATCTCTCAATTATCTTCTTGGTCTGCCTTGTGGTCTACAACCATTCAGCTCCCTTGTGTGTACAGTTTTTACCTGTCTCTCCATATGCCAAAGCCATTTCAGTCTATTACCCTTTTGATGCCAGAGATCAATGGTGATTTAAAGAAATTTTACAGTAAAATTAAAAATTTTACTTTAAGTTTTAGTTATAGTTTTTTTTGGACCTCAACACATTTTCTAGTGCTATAAAAGCTCCTCTTGCCTTTTGTATTTGTATTTTAATATCTTTACAATTTTCCCCATCGTTATCTATATTACTACCCACATAGGTGTACGACACCATGTCTTGAAGTGGGACACCATTAAGAGAAACCAAATTCTGCCTAATTTATTCTCATTATCTTTGCCTTTTCCTTATGGATTTTCAGACCTAGCTGTTATGGTTTTACATCAAGAGTATTTAATTACTATGCATGTGGTTCGGTGAGTGGGACAGAAGAGAAATATCATCAGCGAAGTCTAGATCAACGTGCTGTTTTGAAGGGGTCCATTGAATTCCACTCTTGGTGTTAGCAGTTGCTGTCTTCATAATCTAAGTAAAAATAGGAGAGGCGACAAAAGACATTCCTGTTGCACGCCTGTTTTTATTTCAAATGTATCTGTTAGCTCTCCCTCATAAAAAACTTGACATTAAATGTCGCCTTTACTAAGTTAATATTTTTCTGTGGGATTCCATAGTGCCCCATTAATTTCCAGAGAGATTTCTTATCAATGCTATCAAAAGCTTTTTCATGGTCTATGAATCTAATGTAAAGTGGTGAATTCAAAATAATGCTTTGCTCTATTATTAAACAAAAATGTGGCTATCTGGTCAGTACAGGATCTGTTTGACCGAAGATTTGCCTGTTCATCTCTTAGCTTTTAATGGGTAGCATCTTTCAGTCCTTCCAAAATATTCTTACTTTTCTTTTTCTTTCTAGAAACAGACAGCAACATAGTTTCTCTATAGTTTTCACACTCCTGTAGACCACCTCTTTTGGACAGTTTTATAAGATATTCCTCTCTCCAGTCTGCTGGTATTTCTTCGGTCTCACATACTTTACTGAACAATATATGTAGCAATTCCACTGAGGTGTTTATACTGGCCTTAACTTCTGCTGTGATACCATCTGGACCAGCCGTCTTTCCTTCCTTCAGAAGATTGATAGTTTTCCAAAATTACTAAAATACTCAATTCTATGAAAATAAGAATAAGCTAATGAAAAAAAAAGTTAGGAAATACATAAAGATGGGAAAAAGAATTTTCTGATGATCTAGAAGGCAAACTTGAAGTGGCAGCAGCAGAAAAAAATCTCAAGAGACGCAACAAGGTGGACATGGGACACTGAGGCATGCACATGCCTGAGTGAAAACTGGCATGCGACCAACAGTCACTGTCAACTTGACAGTCAGAAGGTATTTTGGTGGGCAATGTAGAACTTCTACAAAACAAACGCCCTGCTATTGTTGATGAATAATATATAGGAAGGAGGACATGGTGGTAGCTAATAGGAGGGGTAACAGCAGCAAAAACAACAGGTGGCAAAAGATAGCGAAGAGCTTAGTTACTAGCACTTAGTGTGGGTTATTTAGATTCATTATTAAATTATTCTTTATATCGACAACCGGTGCCAAAAGGCAAAATGTTGGCACAACACAACACAGTCACACTACACGGTGTTTCTGAGTAAACAAATATGTTTATATACTAAATGTAAAACAATATTTAGAATATATGTACACAGCTAAAATGCCAGGGGATTGTCAGTCTGAAATCTTAAAACAATGCACTAAATGACGAACAGGTTATGGATACTTTTCATTTTATTTTTACAAAACTGTCATAAAACCAAGAACTTGTCGAACTTCGTCGTCCATGAAGCACAGTCATTCCGCACATACAATTATGGCATCCCACTAATACAAAATAAAACACTTTTATTGATTTAAAAAAATATAAGACAATTAACCAAATTTTATAAACGGTTCTTTACTAACGCAAAATACTTTTTTAATGTGTATAATGTGTAAACCAGCCGAAATGAATTGGCCTTGGCAACAAGAGTCATTCAGTCCGAGGTGCACCAAAAGTTTTCAGCATTTCCGTTCCCCCTAGTTATTCTGATGCCCCAAAATGGGAAGGGAAAAAAAGGGGTTTGGGGGGGGGGGGGGGGGGTGAAGAAAAAAAATAATTGTTCCTTTAAAAAGTTCGTAAAAAAAATGACCAGTTAGGAAAATGCTGATATCGGGTGGCTTTTTGTTTAGGGGTGGGTTTTCGTTTGGGTGTGGGCGCTGAAAGCCGCAGATATCGAAGCCTAGCTGTAATCCACAGCACAACGTGCCTAAATATAACTGTAGTTATGAGTTAGATTATCTTCACAGCACTCCGGACACATCCAAAGGCGCTCAGATTCCCCTCTCATCATATTCATCAACATCGTGCTGTTAATAGTACCAATCCTATGATGGTTAACAAGGCTTTGTGCGTCCAATGTGCTTCTCATGCTTGGCTGTGCCTATCTTTACTGATTACTCCCAATTTGCGTATTCTTAGCAGTGATGTAACTGTGCTGTACGGTTGAACGCGGTATCCAGGATTTGTGCCTGTCTAATTCTCAACCCTCGGACCCCGTTGTTTGTTTTGTTTGGAAAGCCCGTCACCTGCTTCCCCCCCCCCCCCACCCAGGTTATATTTTAACATAAAACAGTAAATCTGTATTTGAATCGCAAAAATGGGGGGGGGGGGGGGGTGAGTTTTTTTTAAAATGATATCAAAGACCCCTTAAATTTGTTTCGTGGACCTACCACCAATAATAACTCCGTGCCTTTAGCAACTGCAATTAGTCGGGGGTCCTATATAGGCCTAGCCTAACGGTTAAACGGGGTTCCTGTGACTTGCGACTGATGTATTATCATCCGAATGGTGTCACTTTGTGTCAACGGGTGTTAATCGCTCATTTTGTGGTCCTGGTGGGGTAGAACGTCACTCACTCACCACTAATGTGAGCTACACTGGTGTAGTGGTTAGACGCTTGCCTGCGGATCCGAAGGTCATGGGTCCAAATTCCAATGAAGCCAGACATTTGTCAGAAATGACCGTGGCTCCCAGGCTGAGCTAACCTTAAATGGCTAGCAGGTAAAGTCCAGGAAAGTCAAGGCGGCCGGCATGATGATGAACAAATCGCCCTTCAAGTGTGGATTAGTCTATAAAATATTGGTCTAGCACTATATGCAAAGTACGCATGAAAGGGGTCCTTTTACCAACCACCAAATGTTCTAGCAGAAGGGGCTAAAGCCTTGATTATGTGCACAATGATAATACCAATAACAGTGATTATTATTATTATTTTGTGCTGAATTTTAAATCAATAGAGAAAAGCTTCGTCAATACGAATTCTGAGGGGGTAAAAATAGCAAGTTTGTACTAGAAAAATGCGTGTTTACAGGAGACAAAAACACTGAAATAATACATGTACATATCTGCTCTGACCAACAGTGTATTCGTGTTAACAGAGTGTTCGTCTTAAAGGAGTTCATGTTAATGAGATTTCACTATAATAATTGAACTGAAATAATAGGAAGTATATAAACGGACACTTAAAATAGCTCCTAAACATAGTTGGGGAAGGTAGGAAGGTCACTTAGATCCATGGCAAATTTTCTAATTATTTTTGAGTACTATGAACAGGAAAATAATAGCTATACTACTGCTAAAAGTATAGATTGCCCCAAAACAGTTGTTAATAACTTTGGATTGCGACTTCTTCTTCTTTTTCGCATTCACTCGACTGTAAACTCCGACAAAATGTTCTAGGAGTTCGTCACCTCCGGACTATAGTCTTGTTCCAGAACCCGAGTGTTGCATGCACATCTGTTTCACAGATCTTGCCTCTCAAGCAGCTGTACGCCGATTACAAAGGATGCCTCCAGTTAGTCGACTCCTAGTCTTACTACATGCTTGTTGGGAAGGTGATGGGTCTATTCTTGTGTCCCCCACGTGGAAAGGCGTTGGGTTTGAAGTGTTATACCTTTACTTATTCTAGGTCACACCATAAGACGTATGGGTGGCTAGTTTTTCCCTTTTCTTCCAAGGATTAGTAGTATTTTAATCAATAATACCCTGTTCAACCATACGTTATATGGTGTGACCTAGAATGTGTAAAGGTCTAATAATTTAGACCCAACGCCTTTCCACGTGGTGGAAACAAGAATAGACCCACTACCTCCCCTACGTTATATCTGGGATCAGTCTTTTCTTCTTTCCAATTGGATGTTTATATTTTCCGGTCACTTGTGGTTATTTAATGTTGCATAGTAGTAAGTAAAGTAAATGACCTAAGGATGATGATAATCCATAGGGTATATGATGATACATGCATATTATTATAGACCGATCATCCTCAGTGGATAACAACTTCATGCTGAATGGACGTCCCTTAGTGCAACAGAACCTGGCATATGATATCACAACCTCTGGCTTAAGAATGGGGGTGGAAGCAGTCACTACTGCCTTCCGCTGGCTTGAGAATCAGTTGTATGTACATGCAATCGTAACTGACTCACAGAGTATGTTGAGAAAGGTGAAGATAGGCATGGTCCATGAAGAGTGGCAAGAATACCTTCAGAGGTCTGAGCAGTTAGCATCCTTTGGATATCTTCTCCAGGTCAAGCCGGTGAGTTGGGAAACGAGCAGGCAGACTGACTGGTAAGTTCTGCACCACTTGGTGGTGAACTGATGTGTGACAAGCTATATGTTGTGGGAGCCCTTTGCAAGCGAGTAAACAATGCAGAGGCACAAACAGATAATTGGGGTCTGAGGAGAATGGTGCTGTAAGGATCTGGCCGCCGCTCAACACTCAAGGGAAAGGTGAAACGGATATACCAACAATAAGACAGTTACTGGTGCCATCGGAATTGTAATTCTTTGCTTGCCGCTGAAGGCGGGGAACGGAGCGCTTATGGGAGTGTCCCAAGTGCTGTGATGTCACTTCTTAATTTAACATTCAAGTAAAGAAACATAAAAAAAATAAATGACCTTTTTTAGGCCAGTGATCCATCAGGCATACGATACTAGATGCACATTTTATAGACCGATCGACCCTCATTGGGTGTTACCAACTTCATGCTTGTCACCTTTACTTCCTTCAAAATACCTGTTTATATACCGAGTCAAGGTTACTTTTGAAAGAGAAAGAAAGAAAGAAAGAGAGAGAGAGAGTGTGTGTGTGTGTGAATGGGACAGAAATAGCAAACCAACTGTGGATCAGTCTGTTTCTCCACTCTGGGCTACTACCTTTACCACACAATCCTGAAAGGATTACCACAAGTAAAGGTTTACCACACAGTCCTGAGATCAAAATAGCTCAGTCTGGACGGCAAACCCCAGATACCCTGTTCAACCTCCAAAGTAGTTAAAATTAGATGTAACCTGCAGTCTTATGTAGGCAAGTACCAATACCAACTGTGTGAAAACCTTCCCGTTTTATGAAAGATAAATAGAATAATAACAGTTATGACTTTTTCTTTCACGTTCGCCCTTAAAATCGGAACCCGTTACCCATATGAGGATTTTATGGGAAAAATTAGTCAGAAACCAACCCTCCCTAATTTCCTCTCACAACATGTATGCTTTGTAACTACCTCCTTTTCCTGAAAATAAAACAAGGTCTTTAATGAATTGTTTCCCCGTGTGGGTTCCAGGGCCCTATTATATGGAAAAAAAAAGAATAGACTCACTGCCTGCCCAAAAGCATGTCGTAAGAGTTGACTAACTGGGAGCTTTATTTGAAGTCAGTGCATGTGGGTTATTAACTCATAGCTTGCTACTGAAAGTATATTATGTCTCTCTCATTTTGTTTTTGGCCCTGAAAATTATGCTATCCTTTGTTATTATTGTCTCTCACACTTACATATTGCAAATAGGCTTTGTCTCTTTCAGTATTTTTTTCCTACTGAAAATTAATTTCATGTCTCACATCCTTTGCTAATGACAGTATGATGTCTGAGAGGCAAGAAACCAGCAGTCTGCATACAAATGAGAGAGATCTGTAAAATGGATGCACATGTAACACTCAGGTTCCTGAACAGGACTGCAGTCCAAAAGTGGATGAACAACCAGAACTTTCCACCCAGTGAACATGGTGAACATGAAGAAGAAGAAGATATTAATTGTTGCCCCAAAAGACACTCTAGGGTTTATTGTCAGTGAATATCCTTTTTTTCTTTTGAATGTTTTTCTTTGTTTGCAAAGAGCGGTTGGTATGTAACATTATAGTTTGCAGCTAGGCTGCAGTATCTGCACTTACACACCTGCTCAACATATCCACTTTCAGCAAACTCTTAATTTATCACCTTCTACAGCATGCTTGTTAGGGAGCAGTGGGACTAATCTTTTTCTGTGTGTCTAGATGTTAATATTTTTCTCATGTTAACAAATTCTGTTAAACTTCTGCCATCATATGTTATTACATGCCAGGATGAAGAAAATGGCCACTTTGAAAAAAAACAGGACTGCATTTCATTTAAAGAGGTTAAATTGCATGTAAAAGAAGCCAGATTTTTTTTAGTCTGCTGTGACTAAACACACAAAAATGTTAAGTTAGTTAGTCGACAGATTATCATCACCCCACATCGAACCAATCAGTCCATAAGTGCTTAGATCCCCTCTTCAGTATCTCCCTCAGCGTTTAGTGGCTTATGACACAAGTTCTGTGCTGGTTTACTATTCTTTTTTTTTGTAAGACAATATATTACGCTATGGTGTAATGTGACTCAAGTATTACACCTGAAAGAGATAATCGTGTGAATTGAAAAAAAAAAATGTCTTACTAACCCACAACCCAACAGCCATTTATTCTGCGTCTCTAGTAGCGCACTTTTGGGTTACAAACTTATGTCCATAATTACTGCACTTTAATATCTTTAATATGATCAAATTTCAGTTACACAGTAGGATGATAGACAGTTTCTTCCTCTTCCTCTGTGTTCACCTTTAAAAGTGTGGTTAGCACAGTGTCTTGTGATTTACAGCTAGGCTGCGAAATCTGTGCCTTTATGACATACTTGTTAGGGAGCAGTGGGTCTATTCCCCCCCCCCCCTTCCCCAAAATGGGGTCCAAGAACCCATATAGGGAGCTGGAAAGTTCTTCTTCTTCCGTTTTACAGATCTGACTCATTTGTATGCAGACTGCTGGTTCCTTGCCTCTCAGGCAGATGCGATCCGACTTCAAAGAAAGCTGTCGACTCTTACAACATGCTTTTGGGTAGGCAGTGGGTCTGTTCTTGTTTTTCCTATAATAGGGCCCTGGAACCCATATAGGGAGCTGGAAAGTTCTACATCATGGCATGTGACAGAAATTATTAAAAGTACACAGGACAGAAGGCAGTCATGAGATAGACATGACTACAAATGTCACATGGCATGGACTAAAAGACATTATACAATGATAAACAGCCACAGAAGACTATTAAAATGTTGAACAATTAAATGTCCTGTATTTTTATTAATCTCAAGTCAAAAGCCAATGACAAATGGTAAACATTCACCTATCAATTTTCTTAGTTTAAAAAAGATAAAACAAACATGTGTGAAAACTATATGAGTGTAACAAAAGACCTAGAAAGGTAAAAGAAACTAATTTGTAGGAAATTTGTATGTGCCCTTCCTGGCATATTTTTCTGCTACTATCATTTCAAATATTTTAAAATCTTAAAATGAGTTTTGAGTTAAGAAAAAAAATAATAACCGGACATTCCCATAAGTGCTCCATTCTCATCTTCAGCAGTAAGCATAGAGTTCAAATTCCAATGGTACTAGTAACTGTTTGATTGTATGCCAGTCTCGCCCCTTCCTTAAGTGTTAAGCATTGACCAGATTCCCTGGCAAAATCTTAAAATAAGGTTGATATCCTTTGCTCATCTAAAATATTTCTTTGCAAATGTGCAGGCAGCAGCCTGTGAAAGTTATAATACACACATGAAGTAACTGTTCACCCAGAACTGAATTTTTTAGTTGGTTACAGCCACTGACAAATCCACGATGCCAAGACCTGGAGCAGATTCAACAGCTGATGTTACAGATTTAGGGTCAATGTCTATGATCTGTTCTAGGGCCTCGGCATCCACAGCTGATGCCATAGATTTGCTGTCAATTTCTATGCTCTGTTCTAAACCATCAGATTCAGGATGAGAGGTGTCCATTTCTCCAGCTTCTTTTCGACGTCTGCCATGTCTCTGTCTAAACTTTTTTCCTGTGTCACCTTGCTTTTGCCTTTCCTCTCTCAACTTTTCTTGCTTCAGTCTCTCTTCCTCTACCTAAAAAAAAAATGTATTTAAATTAATAACTACTGCCGGAAGTAAGAAATTCTTGCATGTGGAGACACTGGAAGCTCGATCATATCAATGAATAAAGGACACATACAATAAGTGGACAGGGAAAACTTGTACAAGAATATAATCCCCAAATAACAACATATGCTCCTATGCTACCAGTGCCAACACGTTTAGTCACAAGAAACCAGTAAACATAGTAATGAGATGTCTGAGAAGGGCTGCAGAAGTGACCTGAAGAGATAAGATAAGAAAAAAGTCATCAAAGAACCAGTTCTAATTTATGTCTGTATGCAAATCAAATGGGTCGCACACTTAGAGAGAATGCCTTGTGACACCTTATCATTCAAGGCATACACAAAAACAGGAGAAGGACGAAGATCATGAGGTAGACTAAGAATAAGATGCGAAGACAACATCAGAGACACTCTAAAACAGCATGATGTGTCTATGGCTGAGGCTGCCAGAAGAGCAAGAAGCATAACCTTACATCCAACTAGAACCCAAAGTGGTAAAAGAAAAACTGAAGAAGAATACATGATGTGACAAAAATGTTCTAGTGTAGTTATATGCAACAACAAAACTGCTGCTGGCAGTTATATTTCAGTTTTTATTCACACTGAAAACATCTGAGACAATGTTACTTTCCATTAAGTTTCAAGTTTAAACACTAAGCGAGCAAACTCAACATCTATTGACCCCACAATATCTTCTCTTCTGCATGCTCCCTCAACTCACTGACACCACAATCACACGCTATGCAATCGGCCTATGGTCACACCTGGCTACTCTGATTGCACCCCCTGCAACTTTAACTCTGGATGCTCACTGCCATGTTAAACTTGCAACTTTTGTGATAATTTAGTCGAAGCTGTTAATTTCTCTCTGTTTCTTTGGGGAGAAACAATTCTGTAGTGTTTAAAGAGAATTTTCATGAATTTTCTTTAGCGTGTCAGCTCCCTTGTCGGTGGCGCGTTAAACAGATGTTTTGATAATGGCGGATGATCATCAGAGCCGACATGGTGGCACATTTTAGAGAATATTTCTGAAGCTATGGAGGATTTTATTGATTATTTTAAATCGGAAAGTGAAGGTGAAGATATTTCTGAACAGTTGAGAGGCTGTGCCATCAATGACATTGTCAAAACTGGAAGGATGACGATTTGTTTATCAGCTCTGGCAGTCGGAGATAAATATGTTGTTCCGTGTCGACTGTGTTGTGTATGTGCTTCAGGTGTGTACTGTTAGATGTGTCTGTTGGTGTATACTGTACATTACGGCTCTGTGGCTTACAGTTTAGTGAAAATCATTTCACACTGCCACCCTCGATGTTTACTGGGGAGGACGGTTTGGGAAAATATAGTTTTCCTGGCTTTTTGAGTTTGACAATTGAGTCATACTGCAGAAGAAATTCTTGGTGCAAAATGCAAACAGCCACTGAATTTGCAGAACTGTTTATGTTAAATAGTCATGAAGCTGTGGTCATTTTGATAGTCTATATTGCTATCAGAAAAAAAGATTTTTCGCAGTAGCCTTTTTTTTCACCAGTCTACAGCCAGATAATGATGATGATTTAAAACAAGAATATGCAATTTTTGTTCTTGACATTTGTTCTCTCTCCATTTGTTGCAAAAAATACAAATTAAGAGTTTATGTTAAATAGTTATGAAGCTGCGGTATGGATTTGTGTGGTATCTAGGAAAATGCAAGGGTTAATGAGGTTGGTAGTCAGTTGGTTAAAAAAGGCAGCTGACTTGTTGTGTTGTGGCTTACAACTAGGCAGACTTTTGGCCAGCACACCCAATTTTACCAAACTCCTAATTCAGTCACCTTTTGCGGCATGCATGTTAGGGGCATTTATTCCACCCCCCCCCCCCCCCCCCCCCTCCCCCAATGGGGTCCCAAAACCCATATTAGGAGGAAATAGAAACTATACTACACTAGGTCATCTTCTTCTTCTTCTTTACGTTTACCAGCTGTAAATTCCGTTTGATATTTCTGGTTCTTCGTCCACTTCTGGACTCTAGCCCTGTTCCAGAACTTGAGTTTTTCAAGCCCATCAACTGTATTTGTATGCAGACTGTTGGTTCCTCACCTCTAATCAGTAGACTTTTACAACATATTGTTTAAGAGGGGGGGGGGAAGTCTGTCCCCCCCCCCCCCCCCCCCCCCCCCCAACAATGCAGCTCCAGAAGCCACACAGGGAATTAAATTACACAATAGCAAACGTTATAGCTCAACAGCGAGCTACCTCGGGTACACAGCTGTATTCTAAAAGTTAAACACCAAACATCACCTGCTTCATGTGTTCTGCATAGTTTGTGTAATTCTGTGGCATTTCCACCTTCTGACAGTCTGGCACTGTTATACCCAGTATCTCTTCCAACATGAAAGGCTTCAACCACACCACCAGAGGTGATGAACCAAATATGTAGTGGGTCCTTTTGTGGTAAAAGAGAATTCCATCTATCTGTGAAAACAAGTTCTTGTTAGTGGAGCTTATCAAACACATTAAGTTATTGTAGTAAGAAGCACTACTCCTGGCAGAGGTTAGAAATTTGGCTCAATGGATCTTTATAATGAGAGGAGCTGTGGGGGGAGAATCTATGGTGACTTTAGATGCACCATCCTGTTTGTGACCCAGACGGGACTGAACATTTAGCATGGCTAAAATTAACACAAAAGAAGAAATCGACAAAGAAGTAAAGAATAGGCTTGAATAATGTGATCAGGTACTTAAATGTCAACTAGGCACACAAAGAAATGCAAAGTAGTAAACACAAATGGAGAAGAAATAGGAAATGTGTCATAAACACTACAAACATTCAATAACTGCAGCCTGCACATTATACAGTGAATTAAATGGTATAACATCTCTGAGTTCCAGAGCCCAATTTTGAGAGAGAGAGGAGGGAGAAACAGGAAAAGAAAAAGAAAAACAGACCCACTGCCACTTCCCCAAATAGCATGTGGTAAAAGGTCATGTGAGGATAAGGAGAAAACTGGAGTACATCATTACAGTAGGAAAGTTGGAGGGGAGGAGAGGCAGGAAGAGACCGAGAGAAAAGATGCGGGACAGTCTGACATCATGGCATGGAAGATCGTCTGTGTCAGAGTTAAGTGAAAGTACACGAGACAGAAGGTTGTGGAAAGACATGACTACCAACACCACAAAGCATGGATTTTAAGAAAAAGAAGAAAAGTTGACTTATTTGAGGTTTGCTGAAATCATATGTGCTGGGCAAAACAAACCTGATACTGCAGCCTTTCTGAAAACTACAATGTGCAATGAGTATTTTAAAGATGAATGCAAAAGAAGAAGGAAAGTTATGGCAGCATAACTGCTAACTGGGAGCCTTGGCAGACACCCACACGCATGCAAATAAGCTAAGAGATGAAGAAAAGATGCCGATACAGTTACAGCACACGGTAAGAAAACCAGATAATATAATTAGAATGTTCTTACACTGGAGTCTATAAAGTGAAAGAAAAAATTGCAGATAAAAAGACAACTCACTGAGAAGAGAATTAAAGACAAAAGTGGCTTTCAGTGAGCTGTACATGATAGCAAAACACTGGATGACATGGCATGCCTTTACTAAGGACCTATATTCCATAGAAAAATAAAAGACAGAAGAATCATTAGCATTTTGAAATAAAATGTCCAGGTAAGACAATACATCCAATTTATTCTTTATTTCTACATTGAGTGTTTATTTTGTCTTTCTTAAATATATGGAGAAATAATTTAATGTTCCTTGGTTTATATTTTGACCCTCGCATTACTTTAGATGTATTCTGTCCATCTGTAGCAATTACAGAAACTCAAGAAAGAGACTTTCATGTGTGGTGTGGACATACAATGACCTATATTTTTAGGTCAATTGGCATTCAGTGGGTGCCAACCTTCTTTACTTCCCAGGACTTTACCTGGTACCCACTGAAGGCTGGGTCGATCCTGGGAGCCAAGGAATTTTTTTTTTTTAAACAGAAACGGATCTAAACCCACAACCTTTGGATGCTCAGCTCAGCATCTAGCTTCTACACTGTGGTGGCTAGCAGTTACTTAATCAAGTTAACGACTGTTTCCCCCCTATCCTTGGTGCACTGGGAATTTAGCACTGTATCAATATTTTTGTAGACCAGTTGGTAGCTGGTTGGGCATAATGAAAAAATGTCAATTGACAGAAAAGTAAAAATTGTTTACACCAGGGAGATGAATGGTCCTAGACCATGAACGAGGCAAACCAAGAAGAATATGGAGAGATAAGATCCAGACAGACTTGGTGTTATCAACTGAAAAGAGAGTGCCAACCAGAGAGATGAACGGAGGCGGGTGATATCTGCAGCAATGAATGTCAAGGGCTCAGAATGCTGAAGAAGAAGAAGAAGAAGAAGAAGTTGGTAGCTGATGGACAATTGTAGCAGTTAGCATTTAAATAGTTTTTTTTTAATTACTTTTAAAGCACTTCAACATTTGCCAATGAAATGGTGTTATGTCTCCAGCTGATCTGAATATAAAAGAGACACCACAGCACTTAGGTCATCCCCAATTTGCATTCTGTATTCGCCCACAGCCGCCAGCGAAGAGTTCCAATTCCAGTGTGACCAGTAGCAGTTTTATTATATGTCCGTCTGTCTTGTCTTTCCTCTGAGTACAGCGTGTCAGCTGGATCCCCTGGTTGCTCACCACAATGATCTACATGTGCTCCTGCATTGTTCAATTGCTCCCAAAAGGCTCTGACCCTCCATCTAGCTTGTCATGCATCAAATCATCACCCAATGGTGCAGCACCAGCCAATCTGTTTGTCTATTCATTTTCTAACTATCTGAATGCCCTGGAGAAAATATCCAAAGAAAACTGACTTATTTGTAATGTTTCTCAAATAGCTGACTTGTTATTTGACTTTTCAAAAGTAACGAGATTCTGAGACCTGCATGCTACCTCAAACAAGAAATCTTTGCTTCTGAAGCATTTCTATTGAGTTTGTTTTAATCTATAACATTCAGAAGTTCAATTCTTTATAACAACCCCCCCCCCCCCCCCCACCCACCTTTTCCCCCTCATCTACAGAAAGAAAATAAAGTGACAGTTGAAAACAACATTCAAAATTACTTGGAAAGCTGCGGACGCAATGGCAGTGCTGATTACGTCTTGTGTACAACCAAAGCTTGGCAGGCCAATGAACTTGAACTGTGGAAAAAAAAAAAGAAATCCCCATGTTCACATTATGTTTAACCCTGTCAGCCAGAGAAGACTGAATCTAGTTACTTCCTGTTGTGATACATTCCCCGTAAATGCCAGTGTATCAGCATTTCTGCAATTTCTGCAAAAAAAGAAATCCCCGTGTTCACATTATGTTTAACCCTGTCAGCCAGAGAAGACTGAATCTAGTTACTTCCTGTTGTGATACATTCCCCGTAAATGCCAGCGTATCAGCATTTCTGCAGTGACCTGTTCTTGAAAAATAGTCAAATGCTACTGGTTTTATCTGTGCCCATGCAATGTTTAGGGAGCCTGGATATGAATATACTAACTAAATGTAGTATTTAGGCGGTTTCTACAAAGCCAAGCTGATATCAGATTTTAATGTAAGCCTCAATGATAGAGGTCATGGGGGTCACGACATTAGTCACCTGATACATAATTTTCAGGCCCTAGGCGAATGTATTTCATTTAATGCTTCACTCTGTTTATGTTCACTGATCCCTTTATATCTGGCATATATTTCAAGGAAGGGGGGGGGGGTGTGGGATGTGTATGGCAAAAATGTAGATAAAGATCTTAAAAAATGTATCAGTGATCTGTGTAAACTGGTTGATTTTTTCGGAAAATATTCACAGGTTTATTTTTATAACTGTTCTGAGGGCGAAAAAGTTAAACATAATGTTAGCAGTTCTATCAGGTTAGTCAGTTCAAAGGCTTGTGTAATGTTTTTTTTTTTTTTACGTCACCCTAAATTAAGCTGTTTGTTTCTGACAAGATGGTGGATTTGTTTCCTCAGATTCTTGTGGATACTATTCAATGATTCTTAGACAAATGTGTGTTTCAAACAAAATACTGGTTATTTTGGAAAAAAAAAATTTTTTGTTTTTACTGTGCAAACTTTCAACAAGGAAAATTTAGATAACTTTGCACAACTCTTTGGATTATTGTGAAAGTTTCTTTGAACGGATGTTAGCACTGTTCCTCCATGTTTTCAAAAGTGGCAATTTTTTTGTTTATGGATTATAACATTGTGTTCAACTTCTATACCAATACTTACTGCAACAACTTTCAAATGAGATGGAAACTATCTTTATTCCTCGAAGCAAACATGAAGTGACAGATCTTCACAGACCAGGCACCACTGAAGGTCCCGGCACAACTGCAAAAGCCAATCCAGACTTTGTGATAGCTATGTTGATAGGAATTCCACAGAAAAAAAACAGAAGATCTTTACCATTACAAGAACCCCACTAAGGTGTTCTTTCGTTTATCGCCTAAGTGCCACAAGGACATATATGAGAAACTAGACAGGAAGAGAATACCTCTGGAAAATGAAGACATCCGGTGAACGCGAAGAAGAAAAAGAATAAATGTACAGTGAGTTGTAGGGTTTATTTTGGATGTCCGTGCTTTCTCAATCTGTTTGTTTCCTTTTTCAGTGCTTGTTTTGTGATTCTTTGTCCACTTTACCTCAGGATGTGCCCAAGCCCAGATAAGAAAAAGGGATTGGAGACGGGAACTAGGTGTTCCACCCTTTCAGAGCACTGCGTGCATCTGTTTTACAGATCTGGCTATTTTGCATTGTAATAAGTGGTGTGTTTATATTCTCGTTGTCTAGGTAGTGTTCATGCGTGTGTCGTGAATGTTCTTCTCACACACTCTGCGTTACACAACTGGTACAAGCCGACACCTATGTAAGCTTACGAGACATGAGTTTATTGGCATATTCACACTTACAGAAGAGTCCTGTCGTTGTCCTAGTAAACAGCTCTCGCACACAAATTCACGTAGCCTTCAACGAGCAGGTTCTTCATGCATTCACTGACCAAAGTCGGCTCCCATGGATCAAGTTGAGGTTCTGGCCATCTCACAGACTGGCATGGTCGATCTTGGCTTCACACTTCGTCGTCAGGGTCTCCTTTCTTAACAAGCACTTTTACATTGACATTCTCACGTTCAGTCGCACATCCTCTCGCTCCAACAGGTCGACACAAACTAAACTTGATCAGAATCAAGTCTGACTTATACCACGGGTTAGTTTCACGTGGCAACACGTGATGGTCCTTTACTTTCACGTGGCGACCTTAGGTCGGCTCATCGTGATACCCGTGATCACTAGTGGTCATCACCTATCTCAAGATTCTCGTTTAATCCGAGTATCTGGAATATCTCGGTGTTTTAGGTCAGCTTTGGGTCTTCCCCCCAACCTTCCTAATCTGGGTCAAAATATCCCTTATTGCATGCATGCAGATTGCTGGTTCCTTGCTTCTCAGGCAGATGCACTTCAACATGAAGGAAATGCCCCTAATTAGTCAACTTTTATTACATTCTTGGGGGAGGGGGGGGGGGGGGGTGGGGGAGGGGGGGGTGGGGGGGGGGGGGGGGGGGGGGGGGGGGGGGGGGGGGGGGGGGGGGGGGGGGGGGGGGGGGGGGGGGGGGGGGGGGAGGGGGGGGGGGGGTTCCAGTGAGTCTGGAACTCACAAAGAGAAGTTTGTTTTAATACAGTGTCATCACTATTAGAAAATCAAATGCGATGCTAATAAGTTTCTGAGAGGATCACTTTACGTGTACCTGTTTAATATAACAATATGGTAACTTACAGGGTTAGAACTTGAAGTCTCTTGTAAAGAAGAGTATTCTCTGAGTTTTTCATGCATCCAATAGAAGCGAAATTCTGTCTGAAAAATAAAAAGATTTGAAGCAGATAAATGTAAAATCAAATGTTACACAACTTGATGAATTTATTCACCAAAATGTCCTATAGTAATGGGATAAAGCTGTATGAATATTATGTGTATAAATAAAGTAACTCAATGACAGATACTGTCACAGGAGAGTGAAATATTTTATTTTATGTAAAGAACATTCTATTGCAATGTAATCTTTGCATTCTGCTCCATAGGTGGTGCCTCCCAGTGGTCCCATCCAGGACAACTGTATGCATCCTGGTCCGCTTTCAAGCGAAGGCAGGGGTAGAACATGGACATTCCCCAACACCTAAATAGGCTTAAAAAATGCAGAGCCAATACATAGTGCTCTGGCACTGGGCTCATCCAAAAAATGGTCATATCCTGCTGATAACTAACCACATTTCTCTAATGAGTCTTCTGACCAAAGATATCAACCAGATATTGGTGGCACGCTGATGAGTAACACAGAAGGTTTTCCTATTCTAAACACTGCATGTTTAGGGGCTACCAGCTCCAAAATCTGTTGCCAGCTCAATTTAGGCAGACAATACCATTTTCCATGGTGAACGACGTGAGACTTGTGGCAGTAGTCTTGCATGAGGTTCCATAAAACCAGCAAAGAGCTTGCTGGTGCCTCTGGTGAGGTACAGCATATTGCCCTTTCATAACACAACGATCTTAACTTTGCCTCATGCCTGGGATCATAATCAACTTACTACAACCAAAGAGCCTTAGATCAATTATACAAATCTGCCTTGATGCAGTTAAAACCTGGACCTGTAGCTGCCACTATGTCATGGCATAATATTAAATCAGATGAGGTTGGTTAACTTGACAACTTATCTACCCATCAAAGAAAATCAACTAGCATCAATCATATGATGCCCTTCTGTGTAATCCTTAATGCTAGCAAAGAATAAGCACATGGTATCTAAGATTTACTATCCCACAGCTAATGTCTGAATAGATTAGCATTTGAAAGCAGTGTCTTTACATACACAGTTGAATAAAATCTTTCAATAAAACACACACACACACACACAAACCCCACTTGTCTTTCAACATGCATATACCACTTTTCAGGGAAGTTGTAGCCTGAGGATTTAGGACGCATGGTGAATGCAGTCATCATGAGCTGTGCAGGTTAGAAATATATTTTTGTCAGGACAGACTGATACTTGGATCCCCAAGAAGAGACCTGCATTCTAGTCAGGGAAAATGCAACCTAAAACTTAAGCAAATCTACTTCTGTATTTCCAAACGAACCAAAAGTTATCCACACAAAAAAATTACTGAAGTAAAATTGTGCATTTCTTCTTCTTCTTTGCGTTCACCAGCTGTACACTCTGGTGTAAAGTTCTGGTTGTTCGTCCACTTCTGGACTGCAGTCCTGCTCCAGAACCTGAGTGTTGCGTGTGCATCAGTTTTACAGATCTGATTCAATTGAATGCAGACTGCTGGTTCCTTGCCTCTCAGGCAGATGCACTCCGACTTCAAAGGAAGCTCCCCAGTTAGTCGACTCTTACGACATGCTTTTGGGGAGGCAGTGGGTCTATTCTTGTTTTTCCCACAATAGGGCTCCGGAACCCACACGGGGGAATTGTGCATTTGAATTACTCCATCATTTGTTTTAAATTATGTTAACTTTTCTTAACAAACAATGTAAGCTTCAAAAGCCATCAAGCACTGAATCTCCTTCTTCTGCCTTTCATCTCCAAATGGAGCACAGGTCCTCAATCAATTTACCCAAAGCCCTTTGAATAATTACTCATGATTGGTTAGATTTTGTAGCCAAAGTTTCCTACTGGAGGAGGTAGACAAATTTAATCTTTTTTCAGCTTTCCAAGCCACTTAGCTTCACTGCTGCATATATCATTTATCTTCATCATCTCTGTGAGTGCTCTTCTCTTTCCAGTTGGTGACTCAAAAGTATCTGTAGGCCTGCCTGTATATTATCTGTCCACAATCTGTTTTGTCTGCCACAAGGTCTACTCCCATTCAACTCCTCAGTGTACACAGATTTGGTCTCTCTGCCATTCTCACTATATGCCTCAACCACAAAGTACAGAACAGCATGCTGAAATATTTAGGATGATATTTCAGACATCCAAACTAAGTACACATGACTCACTTCACTATCATACACGGAACACCCATTCCAGCACATCAGGTCAAGAATATAATACGTCTGGTTGGCTTCACTGTACAGGCAGTCAAGTATCGTCGTATCTAACAGAAGAAATGAATGTATGCACAATCATTATTTGCTGACAATTATCTATAATGATAATTGATGTCAAAGACCTAAAGGTATTAATTTTATTTGCAGCAGGTTCTTCTGTCTTTTTCTCCTTTCACAAGGCTGATTATGAATTTGAACTAACAATCAGCAAAAAGATTATGGAGGAAGGTGCCAATGATAGACCTTTGGTCTTCACTGGTGGTGAAGAACTGGAGACAGGTGACCACTGTTCAGGTCTGGGATCTTCAGTCAATAACAAACCATCACTGCACCAAGAAATCAACATCAGGATAGGAGAGGCAGCAGCAACAATGAGCAGGTTAACCAAGAGAGTTTGGGAGAACAGAAAGCTAATGGTTAAAACAAAAACCCCTTGTCTATCAACCTTTCACCTTCAGCAGTCTCTGTGGTGAGAACTGATAAACTTATTCACACCATGAAAAACGACTAGACAGCTTTCACATGTGATGCTTACAGAGGATACTTCACATTTAGTAGCAAGACAGGATCATAAACACTATGGGTTTGGAAATAACAAGTATCATAACAGTTTGTTTTTTCTCAGTCTTTGAAGGCTAGGACATATTTGGAAGATAAAAAGAGTCCCTACAAATTGGTAAAAGATGTTGAGGTCAACCTCTACTATGATATAAAAATGAATGCAAGCAGGACATGAATGATACAGTTACTGAGGTAGATTTATGGGAACAGAATGCCAGGGACCATTAAGCATGAAGAGGAGAAATCAGGAAGGGAATAAAGATAAAGGCGAAAACTGTGATTCTTTTTCTTTGCATTAGGTTTTGTAGCTCAAATCAGACCATCAAGTGGGTTGCCTCTAAGAACAGGCATGTCAGCAGCAGGTCCTTTCATGGTTCCCCATAGCTTGCTCTGCATACTTTGCTCTTGAGGCCAGGCGTCCTTTTGAAGCTGTATGTAGAGTGGGCAGGTCTGCAGAATGTGCTCAGATATGGATAGATTAAGAGCTGAGAGGTAAGAAGAAGCACACTGAACACAGGTGACAACAACTGTCCTTAAATCCCAGGCTCTAATCGTGGAAGACATTTAATGTGAGCAGCCTAGCTAGTCACACTCGCTATTTTAACCTAATTTTTATTATTTACAATGTGAAGTGAACTGAAATTTGCTTGTCTTTCAACCCAAAAGTGTAGGAATATGGATCCACTAGTCAGAAATCAGAAGAAAGTCCGACATCACTGGCATTTTTTTTTTATGTCGATATCATGGACAGAGTCAATAAAAATGCTGCACTGTGACAGTTGTAGGTATCACTGATCACTCAATAAAATAACAAGGAAAAGAAATAACATAATTGGGACACAAGAAAGGGTTCAAGATGGAACCAAAATTAGCCATATATAGACAAGACAGAAAGAGACAAACAGAGAAAAGATGAATGTAAAAAGCTTAAACAGCTGGGCAAGACAGTATAAGCAACACCATTTTTATCAAAATAGTAAGTCACAGGAGCACTGGAGAGCCAAACCCCATGCGAGTTCCAGTGCAAAAAGGAACATACCAAATGGCCTCTAACAAACACAAACAAAATGTGACTAATAGAAGGTTTTGCTGAAACTGGATGTGATGAGCTGAAAGGTGCAGTAGCCTGTAAACCACAACACAATGTGTCAACCATCCTTCTAAGGGGAAAATGCAGAAGAAGAAGAAGAAGAAGAGAGCCAATCACTACTGTTTGCTCCCAGACCAGGCCGTTGAAGAACATTTCTACTGAGAGAGAATACTAGGCAGCCTGACAACAGAGTCTGGAAGAATATTTCTAAATGAAAATAGTTCGCAACACACAAAACATGATCAAATATAAGGAAAGATATAGAACCGAATGAAAAGTATAACAAATATCAAAAGTGATCAAATACAAAAACCATCATCATGATCCCTAGACTAAAAAAAACATCGCTCTCATGTTCTCCAGCTCTGTGCAGTGCTAGTACATTTCAAGTAAAGTAAAACAAAGTAAAGGACCCTTTTTTCATGCCTGAGACGTATCGGAAATACAATGCTAGACTCATATTTTATGTAAGAGCTATCAGCAATCAGGCCAATCAGACCAACAACATGCCCGCTGCCTTTACTTTCCACAACTTTACCTGATATCCATTTATGATGGATTGACCTGGAAGGCAAGGTCATTTCTGAAACAATCTGATTCAAACCCAAGACCTGGGTGACAGAAATAGTGATAAAAATTTCAAGAGCCAACTACAAATTAGCTTTTACCCAAAATTGTATCAAACAAATTCCTACATTTAAAAATTCTAAATACATTCAGAATGGAATAACTGCACAGATTACTACTTTTTTCACGGCTGCTGCGGCATCCTCCTGGAAGATGAGAAGGAAATGTGTTGATGCAATATCCACTTTTTGAATAGGCTTTGGTTTTTGCCTGGAATCACAAAATACAATTCTTGTTGAAGGAAGTAAATAATTCTCAGTTATTTAGAAACAATCTCTCTCCCCCTCCCTGTGTGTGTCTCTCTCTCTCTCATACTCTCTTGACCTATAGTTTGTCTCTCATACTCATACTTCCTTTGGGACTGTCAAACTTTCTTGATCTTCTCCATCGCTCAGATACTCTCTTAATGCTTCTCCCTCTCTTACACTCTCATGTAAATGCCACCCCCACTTTCTTGATGCCACCCACTAACTATATTAACATTCAATGGAAAAACTGAATACTAGAATACCCACCCTTGATGTCACTACAAGGCAGCGTTTTGCCACTGGACACAGAACGGTAATCCACTCTGTTTCAAGATTACTTGGAACTTCCACTAGCCATTCAGACATCATCAACTGGAAAATGAAAAGGTATGTTTCATAAATTTCTCAGAAACAAATATGAAATTAGCATACACTAACAATGTACACACAGTAGAACCTTTTATCAGAGCAAATCAGTTTTCATCATCATCCTGTTTGTCAATATATGTCACACAGTCTCTTCTTCTGCCTTGGTAACTCCCAATGGAGCATAGGCCCTCAACCAACTCATGCCACGTCGTTTTATCCTTTCCTATCCCATGCAGCTCTCCCCACATCCTCCCTATCCTTGTAACTTCGCTCTCTAACTCCCTTCTCCATATGTTTTTGGGTCTTCCGTTACTTTTATGCCCCTGTGGGTTCCAGTGCAAAGACATTCTAGTTATATATGTCACACAGTGCTCAGTTTGTTCTTCCAATTCGTTCTATCCTGTGCAACTGATGTTAATATCATGGATGATACAGACCAGCACCATCTGCCATCTCTATCATCAACATTTGCCTCATTGTTTCTTTTGGACGTTCTCATTTCCTCAATCCATTTGTTTCCCATTGAAGTGCCAGTTTGATGATTTTGTTTGCTCCTCCTCAGGATGTGATAGGCAGTCTGTGGCAATTTAATTATGTTTCTAATTAGGATTTATTTGGAAGCTAGAGAGATGTGGTTTATAGATGAATGATGAAAATACTCTGGACAGATAATTTAAAAAAAAACAAAAAATTATTATAATGCCTTGAAAAAAAGTGTCTCACAAAGAGAATTGATTGCTAACATTAGAAAGATACAGTCATGCAGACTGTCTCTTTCTAATGTTAGCAATCAGTTCTCTTTGTGAGACACTTTCTTTCAAGGTATTCTCATTATTTTTTTTTTAAATTAGAATGCATCTTTGGTCATGTGGTGACAAGGAGAAAACTGGAGTACATTGTGACAGTAGGAAAGCTGGAGGGGAGGAGAGGCAGAGGGAGACCAAGAGAAAATATACTGGACAGTCTGACATCACTTGGAGGATCTTCTGAAACAGTTGACTGAAAGTACACAAGACAGAAGATTATGGATACACATGACTATTATCAAAACATGACATGGATTTTAAAAAGAAGAATTAGGAAATGACCATACACATACTGAACCATTACTAATAAACTGCAAACATTCATTAACTGATCAAACAGAACACAAGGACTAAAATTGTGGCAGGCCAAAATAACAAGTAAACTAAACAAGAAAAATTGAACAAATCTCAGTGAATAAACAAGTGAGTTTAAAGAAAATACCGGACAGGACACACACTGAGATCACATGATAATATTATAAGTAGAAAGACCTTCCTCTAAAAAGCACAGGTTAAAAAAAAATAATAGAATGTAGTTTTTAAAAAAAAGTACAATTAGAGACCGATGTAAACATGGGGAAAACATGGAATGATGTGCAGAAAAATGCAAGAGACATAAGGATTTAAGCATAGTGGTTGGGAGCCTATGTTCCACTGGAAAATGAAAGGCACAAGGAAGTATTAGGAGAAAAAAGGAAGCATAGCAATGAACCTTTAACATTAAAGATACAACACAAAAATATGCATAAGTGACAACATTATTCATGGGTAATCAATGCTAAGCAAACAGAAAGACAAGCCGGTCATTTTAAAATGACTGTGGTAAGCAATTAATCTGAAACAAGAGACTATTCTCTTTTTCATTTATTGTTGTTAATTATGGAGCCAAGATATTCAAAAGTCTGTGAAATTTCAAAATTGTTAACTGCTATTTGTAATTTTAGGACAAACAGAGCATCAGAAAATTAGTACTAAAGATTTCTCCATGAATTAAAAAGGCTAAAAAGTGGATTAGTCACCTTAATATATGTGAAAATCAATCACTTCGAACCTTTGTTACAGTACCTGCCCTAAAATGAGGTTATCTTTGGTGTTTTCTTTAAATTAAAAGAAAACACTATTCTAACATTAATATGATTTATAGATTTCCCCAAGCAGAGTCCTGGGCCCCATTCTGGGGGAAGAAAAAAGAATAGATCCAAAGCCTCTTAACAAGCTTGTTGTAAAAGACAACTAATTAAGAATTTGTTGAAATTACATGAAATGGGCTGAAAAATGCAGATATCACAGCCCAGCTGTAAACCACAATACAATATGTATACCACAAGGGCAAACACAGAAGAAAAGGAATATAATAGTTTACCTGATTTTTATAGTAACGCCCAGGCCTACTAAGTTTGTGCTCAAGTTCCATTGACTCGTCATCATCTTCCTCCTTCTCTTCTTTATTGTTCCAGTCATTATCAGTCAGCCTTCTCACATGGCTCAAATAGTCAAATCTCTGACTGGGAATAAATCAAAAACATTAACCTATTTAATTATGCTCCAAGTGAATCTTGGAATATCATTAAACAAATCAAGAAGCAACTGAGATGTGGTTCTTGAGAAGAATGCTGCAAATACCTTGGACTGCCAGAATAACTAACAATGATTGCCTGAAAATCGCTAATAAAAGTAGAACATTATATACAACAACGAGAAGGGGACAAACAAAGCTCTTTGGTCACGTGATGAGAAAAGGAACACTGGGAAATATTATGATGACTGAAAAGATCACTGATGGAAGGGGCAGAGGCAGACTAAAAGAAATGATGGTGGATGGCTTCAGACTGTGGTATAGAGGAACATCATCAGTGTAATTGATCCAGAACACTGACTGAGATCTGTGGAGATGCATGAATGCTACACCAGCTGGCAGGCACTTGATGATGACGATTTCATTATTTTGCTGAAGCCTTAATTACTTTTGTTCTGGTGTTATGATAGAAATGCAAGACCAAGGATAGTCATCAAGAAGGGGGAGAAGACAGTAAGGACCTAGATAGATGTAAATGAAGTGAATGCTCAAAACTGCAGCAAAAGCCACTGCTCACAGACAAAAGTGGAAATAAATTCAATTTTTTTTAGCTGGTTTTAATCAGCATTTTATGCAGAAATATATGTTTCACTTAGAAAGACATTTCATCCTGAAAGGTGTATATCATTTAGAAATGTAAATTTTTTTCAGAAAGGTATGCGTTTCATAAAGAACAACATGTTTTGTTAAGAAAATTATGTGTTTTTTTCAAAAGGATATATATGTCCTTCAGAAACGTATGCATTTCCTTCAGAAAAATTTCATCTGGTCTAAAGGCAATGAGGAAGAAAATGCAGAAATTAAAAAGATAAGTTAACTATTTTGCACATTTACAATACAACAGTTACAAGTAAATATTGATTCTCATTTGTTCCTCACTTTTTCTGCAATTCCAGCAGCTGTTTTCGCCTTGAGTTTTGATCATACTTCGGTGTTCTCTCTTTGTACTGCGAATACCTTGGATGAGGAGCAGATGTTCTGTTTGGTTCACTGGTGATTGCAAAACTTCCAACAATTGCTGCTAGGTCATCCATGATTAGCAAATAAACCTAAATATAGAAAGAAACAAAAATACAGTTTAAGAGACAAACATAAATATGATACAATTTAAAAACGGCTTTCCTTGCAAAATATAAAACCCAACTAGTACATCCTCTTCTTCTTCACTTACTCCAATTACCTCAACAAGCTATGGGGGAAAAGGGGGAAGGGGGGGGGGGGGGAATTGAAAGATTGTCTGTTTTTTCTCCCTAATTCATGCAATGGTTGTCTTCATTTCTTTCAGGTTGTTCTTGATGATGTTGTTTCACATTTTGCATGGTTTTCCCCTACTTTGTTTCAGTTAGTATAAACTGTTTTAATATCCTTTCCATTCACATCATACTGCTGAAATCGCACTGAAAATTGGAAAAAAAACTTTAAAACTAAATTAACTTAACTGGGGTTAGGAAATTACACATTTAAAGTTAATTAGTCGAAACATCATCCTCATTATTCATCCAATCATGCAGTCCATGAGTGCACAGATCCTATTCTCAGAAAATATGGCATAGTGTAGTGATGGCAACATCAGTTCTGGTTTATTATTCAATCCTCCAGTCTTGGATCATAAGACGAAGAAGATATCTGTGTCAAAATGGGTTATTAAGGATTTTTGTTTACTCTTTCTTTCTTTTGTCATCTCACTGATACCAGGCCGTAGCCAAGTGTCACGGTTTTCTGTCTTTGTCTTGCACTTCCCAGGTGGCTTGAGTGATACATCTGTTCACCTTTTTTGCAGGTTTCAACTACACTATTTATCCAGCTCTTTCTTGGTTTTCCCCTCACCCTTCTCCCAGATGTTCTGCTGTAAAAAAAAAAATTAAAAAAAATCCCCCTTATGCAGTTTCATTTACTTAAATGTTGATTAAATCTTCACATGATTCTTTTAACTGAGGTAATATGTTCCCTGTAATGTTGGTGTATTTTTGCCCCCAGTCACACAGAGGTATGATAATTCATAATTGTGCAGGAATATTGTTTTGTGCTTTTTTTACTGAGGTACAATACTGGTTAATCTTTTTCTAAGTAAACCAATTTACTGTTTTAGAAACCACACCTTTAATTCAATGACTGATTAATCCAAGGAGTTGGATAAAGGAAGTAACAATGCAGTGTAGTCTCAACTCTTTGATAAAGGACTGAGATGCAATGTACCATCTCAAATAAGATTATATAATCAATCAGGAAAAAAAAAGTGGAAACAAAAGTTCTATTGTCTTTGTACCCTATCAAAAAGGTTGTAAAAAGTAATTAAAGTTAGGCTTGGTCACTGACCCCATAAAAAATTGTAGCCACTTAATTCTTTGAGTCCCAGTGGGTTTAGCATCACAGGTCCAAGGGGTGGTCAAGAGAGACGTGAAATCAGCGCAGCATGTGTTCATTTGGCCTCAAAGAGTTAAGTCTACCAACTATAAATAAACCTTTACAAAAATTAGTAAAAGGGGAGGAGGAACTATTAAGTGGATTTATTAAACTTTGTGGGATAGCCAAAATAAGTCTGGATTACCTCATTTCATCTAGGAAAATCTCCAAAAGAGGGATATGGAATACAAAAACTATGCCTGAATTGAGGGAAAAGGGGGTGGGGAGTGGGGGGATAGTACATGTTTAGAAGAAATGGATTAATATAATAGCAGCACTGTCGGAATTTGCATAAGATGGAATGAATCATGCAAAACATTATTCTAACTTAGAATCTGAACACAAGAATTAGATACCAGAAAAGGGGAGGGGGGATACAATATGATGGGAAGAATAGGAAGTTACCTGTAGAGATAGTTGACCAAAAAAAAAAACAGGCTAGAGTTGGGTTTTTGTTTGTTTTATAAACAAACAAAAAAAGGACTCATTAAAAATCCAGTATTTTGCTGCAACAGTTCAGTAACAACATAAGTTCTCATAGACCTTTCTTTCTGACTGCAAAACTTGTTATATGCTTCACACCAATCTGTTTTGATTTTTGTTATGATGTACATCATAGTCATAGTATATGGCAAATTTTAAAATGCCATATTGTATCAATATCATATATACACAATTTTCGTCTGATGTTTAACTCTGGTGGTAGCTGTATGAGTAGACAGTTGTTACTGCTGTGTCTGTGGTAAATAACTTGTGGTGGTACCCTGTACCGAAACTGAAACAACAGCTCAATTTCTCAAGGCAGACCCTAAACCGACTAAACCGCTACTGTCACTGTCGTCCAAGCTTCGTACCAAGAGCCAGGTAGTTTATGTTCAAGGTTTGGTGTGTTTTTCGTGTGTATCAATGTTTCGACAGACTGCTATTACTATTATTATTATTATTAGAATTAGTTTCAATATTTTAGTGTTTGATAATTAAATTTGCGATTTTTCTGCAAACATTATAACTATAACATTTCATTGTTTGTTTGTGAAGTGTGAAGTCAGTAGTCAGTTTAGTCAGGAATCTCGTAAATTAATCAAATTATTTTTTTTAAAACAAACTCCGATGATTAGGATACTTAACTAGCGAGTGACACCCGTAAATTTCTTTCTCTTACCTAATAATATGTCTCTATAGTATTCAGTAATTCATAAAGACTTCCTGACAACGAAAAGACAACAATAGTAGTTTAAAACCAGTCTTCGACACGCTTTTCGTTGTCTACTGTAATAACTGAAATCAATGTTTCAAGAAATCGCTTCCTAGTTCGAAGGTGAAAGTTCATGGGTGTGCGAACGTCGACTGCTATGTGAAGCATATTTTTAAGGTGATAAGAGTGAATGTTGAATTAAGAATCGACAACACAGCACTCGGGACCCTCCCATAAGCGCTCCGTCTCCATCTCCAGCAGCAAGCGAAGAGTTAAAATTCAGATGGTACCAGTAATTGTCTGATTGTACATCCGTGTCTCAATTTTCCCCCGAGTGTCGAACGTCGGCCAGATCCCCTTATAATTCCTCCCTGTGCCATTCTCCTCAGACCGTAATTTTATCTGTTCCTCGGCACTGTTCACTCTCTTCCAAAGGGCACTCCCAACATCCAGCTTGTCATACATCAGTTCACCACCAAGTGGTGCAGAACCGGCCAGTCTATCCGCTTGCTCATTTCCCAACACACTGCATAACCTGGAGAAAATATCCGAATGATGCTAACAAACCGGGACCTCTGAAGTGATTCTTGCCACTCTGCACGGAGCATGCTTGTCTCCACCTTTCTCAGCATACTCTGTGAGTCAGTGGTAAGAGTGAAAGCTGTCGGTATTTCTCATTTTCTCTGATAAAATAAGGATAAAAAGGCTATGGGCAGTTAAAATCGTGATGAAAGTATCTTGAAAGGATTTAATTCACAACAAGAGCTGGTTTCTTGAATCAGAAGCAGACAATTGTCATTATTTTGGAAGGTCAAGAGAAGTGGGAAAACTGAAATACGTAGTAACAACAGAAAATTTGGAGAAGACAGAAAGGGTAAAACCAAATAGAGAATGAAGATGCTAGGCAGTTTGAAAGGGAGGCTGTGAAGGGCTTATTTTTCAGGAATTATTCTCAGTACATGGGGTGGAAGGCAGGGACGCCGGAACAGGAGGCTCTGCGAAGCTCCCCCCCCCCCCCCCCCCGCCCCCACCCCTAGAAATAAAATTACTGAAAAAAGGAGACAGGGTGTACTTACCATCAAGTGTCTTTTATAATAGCGATGAAAAATTATTTTTAAAAAGGTACCAGTACCACCAGAAAAAAGCCCTGGGACTCAGGCACCTTGAGCTCCGCTCCCCAGCTGTCATCCTTGACTATTTGTTGGGGGAGGGGGGGCACGGCGGTTGGAGCCTTCCCACTCCTAAAAATGTATTTGAGGGCTCCACAATTTAAAAGATCCAACATGACGGAGGATGGATGCAATGTATCCACTGCTGACTATTGGAATAGTGTGTGGTCTGGCCCTAATCTCTTCCATGGTATGACTCTCATACCACTAGATTAAAACCACTATAAAAAAATTTTACGAACCGCCCCACGGCAAGAATTAAAGAACAAAAGTTTTTGTTTAAATTATTTTTACATTTATTGTCTGGGATTACAGTTTGTAGGAATAATAACTTAAAAATGAGAATTAAACATGCTGCAATCCCAGAAACCATGTTCAATCATTTAGCCATATAGAAGTTATATTAGGGCACTACAAAACGGACACAGAATAACTCTTAGGCCAGTGCTAGTAGCATTATGAACTCACTTCAATAACCTCTGAACGGCATAAGCAGCTTCCCTAACCATGTATAGAAGTTCTGTGTTTTTTTTTTTTTTTTCAAGTACCTCTTTATACATTTCATTTTTGGCAAATATTTTATAAGTGTCTGTCACTTAGTCTAGTATTATTACTACACACTTAATCCAGACCTCCATCCTATAAAAATTTACAAGGGTACTGAGGGTGCTCAAAATGTTTTAATGTTGATGTGTCTCTTGTAGATAGCTGTAGAGACAGAAATGATGACCTACACCACACAATATGGAATATTATTATAAATCATCTTCTCCTATGTGTTCACCAGTGGAAACTTCTGATTGTTTATCCATTTCTGGGCTTTGGTCTTGTTTTAAGAATTTGAGTTTTGCATGCATGTCAGTTTTACAAAATTGGTTTATTTGTATGCAGACTGCTGGTTTGTTTGTGAAAGATATTGATGAGTCATTGATCGATCTTCTCCTTGTGTTTGCTCTTAGAGAGTGGGCAGCACACTGGGTTGTGGTTTGTAGCTAGACTGTGATATAACCACCTTTGACCTGACACTGCCAATGTTAATACATTTTAAGTTTTCTTTCATGATATGCTTCTGAAATTAAGTCTTCCTGTCCCTCCCCCCCCCCCCCCCCCCCCCCCAAAAGAGCCAAAAACACGTGAAGAAGTCATGGATTATTTTGCACTTCCTAAAGAAGAAATTCAGGGCTTTTGAATTAAACGTATTCATTACCATCCAACATACCATACATTTATTAGGTACTCAAAGCCTGATTTCTTTTTTTTAAAACTC